CTGTACTCATCCTGGGGCTGCGACAATGCTACAGCACGGGGCACGCCTTCCAGGGCAGTCACAAAAAGCTGATCCTCCAAGCACGTAACACGGTGTCAGGATTGTTTCAAATTAAACTGGAGCCTTGAGAGGCGGGAACCAGTCTCTCTCCTTCCTTCCAGGGATCCCAGCTTCCAACAACCACCCCCCACAGAGGCTTTCTTGGGCTCTGGTAGATGGCAATAGGGCCAATGGAGGGCCATTGCGCCAGTGTGGCCATGGTGTCTCTTAGGATGACGGAGACGGTGCTGCACACCAAGGCTGTGTGGCCTCTGGAAGTATGTACGGCACCTCTCTGGTCCGCAGTGTGTGTCCTCCTCCGCAAGGTGAGCCCATCACTCACGGTGGGATCAAGTAAATCACACCAGTCAAGGGCAGAGTAGAGAGACAGCAGATGTGCAATACAGACTAACTAATGCGGGGTGCTCTTTGATGGTCTCGACCCTAATGAACCAGGCCCAATCAGCTGGCTAGGGCGCCTCTGTCTGTGATAGTTATCTACTTCCTCTTTATTAACATTCCACCTATTTTCTGGAGCTCACCTCCCATCCCACCTCCTCCACAAAACTGTTATTCCTGGCACTCTCCCAAGGACTCCACCAGTGCGTGTACCCTCACCGCCGACTCACAGTAACCCCATTAACTGTTCATGGGAGTCAAAGCCCAGTCTTTCTCCTGCAGAACTGCCATCATGTGGATGGCAGCCAACCCGGCGCACCTGAAGGTGAGCTATGAGGCTGTGCACGGACCCGCCCAGGGAGTAACGGGCCATCCTGGCAGGAAGGCCCTGGAGAGTTGGGTGGTGAGGCCTGACTTTGAATCCCAGCTCCACCATGCGTCTGTGTAACCAAGCACGGCAGGGGCCGCTTTTTCACCTGTGTGAAGACGTGTTTGGTCATGACCACTGTCAGGCGTCTGGGAGTCAGGAGTTGAAGACTGAGAGCAGGGCCTAGTCTGTGTCTGACATCCCCCGAGCGGTCCCTGGCATCATCTGCTTAAGTGGTTTCTCATCCTTTCAATGTGTGAGTGGCTCTTCTCCACGGCTCTAGCAGCCCAGGGACAATGTGTCAAGGAAAAATGGCAGCAGCTGGGGCCCTGCACGGACTAGAAGACCAGCCTCAAGCCTTCTCTCTCAGCCCTCTCCTCTCCTCCACCCTTCTGTTTGCCTAAAGCCACTGCTATTAGTTACAACAAAACCCCACAACCAAGTGCTGCTGGCGGGAGTCACCCCGGGGTCAGCTCTGGCTCACGGTGATCCCCTGCCCCAGCATGTGACTGAGTAGAACGGCTCCCAAGGGCTTTCTGGACTAGTCTTCCAGGAGCAGACCTTCCGTGGTGCTGTGGATGGGCTTCCCACCGACCCCCTGTGGGCTCTCAGTTAAGCATGGGGTGTCTGCACCTCCTGGGGACCCGAAGTAAATGGTGCCACACTCACAGCAGCTTCGGTGGCAGGCTTGGTAGCACAGTGGACTGTCGGGCTGCCAGCGAGGTCAACAGTGCAATGTCCCACGGGTGAACTATGGGGCCTTAAACCCTAGGGAGCAGTTCACTCTGCCCACGTGGGCAGCTGTGAGTCAGAATTCACCCAATGGCAGTTGGGTTGGTAACGTGTGGTTTCAGGTCTGGCTGGCTCCAGCTACATCATTAGGACTCCTTCTCCTATTCCGTCTCCTGGCTGTTTCTGAGCAGGCAAGTTTACTGTCACGTGGCAGTAAAGCACGTCGCATTTTCTGACTTTTGGTCCTAGAGCAAGAGAAACGATGCGCTCTCTGAGCATCCCTAAGGCGGCTCTCATGGGAGGAAGGCAGCACTGGTGTGGATCTGAGGGACGGGCACTGCAACTGACTGTTGGCGTGTTCACCCTCACCTGACAGACCCAGAAAAGACACACGAATGGTCCTCACTGCCCTTCTTGATAGTGCAGTTCACAGGTCACGTTTCCAGAGAGCCCGCCCCCTCCCTTGTGGACCTTGACCTTTCCACAGTAGCATGCAGATTGCTGCCTCTCAGACGACACTGGGGCTTAAGGCGGGAACCAGAGCCTTAAATACCAATCTGTTTCTTGGTACCCCTCACGCCTAGCTTCCTTTCCAGGCTGGGGAAGGGCCATTGTTGACAGCCTACCCAGCACCCCCCACCCCCATTCCTCTTTCTACTCAGCTCTTTGGGTGGTCCTGCCTGGGGCTTCGTGGGGGAGCAGGCTCCGTCCTGATGAGTTAAATCCATTTGCATTACCCTTGGCCAGCGTGGCTGTTTCAGCAGTGGACATGGGAAACCCAGCTGGGGCCACTAAAGCCTCAGGAGATCTGAGAGAGGCTTCTTCCTCTTTGGGGAGGGGCACCGGAAGGCAGCTGGCCCCTGATGACAGGAATGAGGAAGGATGTAGCTCTGCTGGCTCCTGGCTGCTGCCATCCACAGCTGGAAGGGCACCCAACCTGGGTGGGCAGATACCACAGCGGCAGTTCCTGACTCCTGAGAGCTCTGTTGGGTCAGCAGATGGCCACTTTGCTCCACCATGGTAATTCCCCAAGCCAGTACATTTCCGCTCTGAGTTGGGGACCTGCTGTCCCCTTCAGCCACAAGTGTCCTGGCAAAGAGGTGCTTCCCAGGGGTTCCCTGCAGGAAGGGTCCGGGCGACCAGGCATGCCCACAGGAGCCCTGCCGCCTACACTGCGTCCTCCGCCCCCAGACCCTGCAATAACACCCACTCCAAGGCTCTGGGCACTTTTTATAAAACCAAAGCAGTCACGTAACCTTATGCTTGCACTTTACAAAACCACAAAGGAGAAGTCTGTGAACGGGAGAGGGTGGTGAGGGGTGGGCTGGGGGTGGGGGGATAAAAAGGGGGAAGAGGAAGGTCCAGAAAAGATGGCTCCTCATTTTGGAGACCAAGCAGAGGCGGGGACCCAGCCCAGCCAGGTCTCCCGTGTCCCTGTTGTACAGAGCCAGGCAAAATGCCTCAGGGAAGGGCGGCGGCCCTTCACTTCCAGAGAGACTGGCCTCCTGAGTGGACTGCAGCAGCCCCCAGTCCCTCGGGCGGTCCAAGGCGGCAGGAAGCCTCCCTCAGGCCGGGCAGCAGTGGCTGGAGCTCGGTCGGAGGGCTACCCATCTAGAAGTTTCAGGATGCTCTCGCGCTCCTTCAGTGTCTTCCAGGCCTGGTCCTTCTCCTTCTTGGTGGGAGTCCGCTTCTTCTGGCGCGCAGCCATGATCTTCCGGAAGGCATCCATGACTTCATTGTCTGCCATGCGGACCCGCTGCCTCAGCTCCTGGCGGCTCACCTCCTCCTTGGCCAGCCTGTGGGGCCAAGGGGACCAGGGGCATGGTCAGCAGTGTAGGCCCCACCTCTTCCAGCCAGCACCCACCCACCCACCCCACCCTGGGCCAGCACTCCCAGAGCACATCAAGAACGCAGTCATTGAGACCTTTAATTCTGGGGCAGGGCCTGCGTGCTGGACAGCGTTTCACTGTCCAGATACTAACGCGGGTGACCGTGCGGCCGGCACTGAGAGTCCCACGTTACCGATGAGGAACAGAGGCTCGGGAGAGGGCAGGAGATCTACCCAGCGGAAGACCTGAACCAAGGCCAGGCAATGGCCTTTGCCAGGGTTCCAGTGCCAGCAGGAGACCTGCGAGAACTGGAGGCGTTGAGCAGCCCTGGGCGAGAATGCCAGGGAGTGCCACCTCTAGTCTCACCTGTCCCTCTTCCCAAGGGGCAGCTGTAGCTGGGGCAGGAGGTGCCTTGCTTAAGACCTCGAAGGTGCCTGTGGCAGGGCGGCATGCTGGCCTGAGTGAGACTGGAAAGTCAGTCCAACTCGTGGCAGAGCCCGGAGTGTCAGGCAAGACCGCGCCACAGGGCTGCCAACGGCCTCCCTCGGAAGTCCACCTCCAGGCTTCTCTTCCAACGTGCCCTGGGAGGAGCCAAATCTCCACCTTTCTCCTAGCTTGGTGAGCACGTACCGCTGGCACCACCCAGGGGCTCCCTGGCCTCCGGACAGCCTTGCGCTACCGTCTTTTCTGTGCTCCCTTCCTCTGGCCCTTGAGAGGGGGCGCGCACTAGAGAGGGGCACTGGAGTCAGCCTGGGGCGCAGGCCCCAGCGTGGTGGGTGACTGGCTGCCTGAACTTCAGCAGAGTCCTGCGCTTCCCTGGCCTGCATGCCCTCATCTTGTAAAACAAGACGGGGATGACACACCTACCCTGTGTTGTGCTGAGTCAAGGTGCACAAGACGCCCCTGGCGTGGAGCTGATGCATTTCGAGTTCCTCAACGCAGATTACAGAGACCGTTTACATTGGCCTCCTCTACCACTTATGCTGAGACTTTTATCCAGGTAATGAGACAGTTACATCTCCAAATTCATTTACGGTCGTTTAAGCTCGAGACTCCCTGTGTGGTATACCAATCTCTACAGACAAGGGTCAAATTGACGTGAATGAAAATGAAGCATTAATCCCAGTAAATCAGTTCCATTCAGGAAAGCATTACTGTAGTAATAAATAAAAACAAGGTCAAAAAACAAGCATCCAGTGTAGAGGCAGGCAATGCAGACTATCACACTGAGGGCCCACCAAACCCTTACGACACGTCGAACCCAGGATCTCAAATGTCATGTAATGTCAATTATTACAAAATTTACATGTTTCATTTGTAAGTTAATAATTTATAATTACATTGTTTTTAAGTAAGATGTTTTTCAAAGAAAATGTGCAGTTTCATTCACATTCACTTGTCAATTTGATGCCTGTCCATAGAGATAGTTACACAAGACATATCCATAAACCCACACACCTTCGCAGCGGGCAATACTACCACTAAGCCTGCTCTGGACGTGCACTTGCGCTGCGGGCCCTGTGCTCTCCCACAATGTGGCCCTGGCACAAGGCTTGACGACGAGACATGGAGCTGACTGTGCTGCTGGGCCACGGGGCTCAGATGCTTTTCCTCGACCCCAGACCAGAGCAGCCATCAGCACGCCCCTCCAAGTGTCCCCAAGACTCCAGGCATGACAACGCATGGTGGAGGACACACACACTGACGTGAGCCCCAGAGATCTGGCTCAGGGCGGCTGCTCAATTCTTGGGGCGGGGCTGAGACTCAGACCCGTCCAGCTGAGCACTCACAGGGGTGGGTGGGGTCAGTCTAGTCCTTTTTCAGATTCTCCACGTGCTTGGAACAAAATAAACACGGGACAGTGCTTAAAACGTTCCTTACGTGTGCCTGCGCCCTCCTCGGTCTGAACTCAGAATGGTGGGGTGGTGGCCGGGCATCACTATTTTCTCCAAGGTTCTACCAGGTGACTGGGACACACAGCCAGGCTCGGAGGCCTGTCATGGAGCCCCCAGCAAGGGGCCGGCAGTGCCTGGGGCCTCCTCAGCCATCCACGGCACACCACGCAGCCCCGCACACCCACCTCAGCAGGTCATGCTTCTTGGTGCGGTTGTGGGCGCTGAGCGCCTTCAGCTCGGCCTGCCGCTTGCGCAGCTCGGCGAGGACTTCGTCTTCCGAGTCCTCGGCAGGGCGGTCTTCGGCCTCCAGGAGCCCCTGGGCCACCAGCTCCTCCTTGATGCGGCTCTCTAGGGACTTGGTGTGCGGCACACTGCAGGGGAAGGCAGCCCTCTCAGCCCACAGGCTCTGCAGGGCGTCCCAGGGTTCCCCAGGTGGGTGAACACCCTCCTCTCTCTGGGAGCCCCCTCCCCACTTCTGGATATGAAAATAGAGAGACACACCTGCTCTTGTCCTTAAGCACATCCATTGTCAAAAAGTAAGAAATACGGGGGGGAAAGCAGAACACCAAAGCCCTGAGCGAGCACTACTGTTATTTCATGGAGGGTGACTTGACTTTGCTCCATCTGTTTCTAATGTTTGGTTACCCATTGCTCTAGGCTTTTAACTTTGAGCCTACATTGTAGTAGTAAAAATAAGGCCACACTGTCTCTACCGTTACAACTGACATTTCCCCCCCCTTAGCACCATCTTCTCAGGTCCAAGTACGTTTCTCTAACACAATAGTGACAGGTTATTTCATCACGGGGAGGCACTACGTGGTCAAGCAAACCCCTTCAGCCTGACAGTCTAAGTGGTGCTCTAACGAACAATCCTGGGCCAGGACCTGGACTTCAGACTTGGACTGGGCTTGACCACACTGCCCTCACCCCCCTGTGCTCTCCTCATCTGGGGGTGGACAGAAGGTGGCAGAGACAAGAGCCAGGCTGTGGGGGACCGAGGGGGTCCCACTCACCTGAAGGGCTTGTTCTGATTTCGGGGAGAAGTGCTAGCCCCATCGGCTCCTGAATCTTTCGCGGACACATCTGGGATGGGAGAATCCTCCATAGGGGAAATAATGTTTTCCTGGAAGACCATCAGAGAGAACTGGGGTGGAGAGCTGTAGGATTTCCATTATCCTGGCTCATCTGATTTACAAGGACCACCTTCCCAGATAACAAAGGTCTATTTTTCACCATTCCTTCAAGAAGTCTTCCCAAACCAACCTCCAATAGCTCTGGTCTGGTCACTCTACAACTTTTCTTTTTGGTTTTGCATTTACATAGCAATAAGGAGCACAGAGAAATGATGCTGTCATACGACAGTATACCAGTCATATGATAGTGTGACAGTCATATGATAGTGTAACAGTCACATGATAGTGTAACAATTATATAATAGTGTAACAGGGGAGAGGGGAGAGGGAGAAGGGGGAACAGATCAAAATGATCAACACACAATCACACACACTCCTCCAGGGGGAAGAACAACGGAAACCATGGGGGAAGGGAGACAGTGGGCGGTGTGACATGAAAATAATAATAATTATAGTCTATCAAGGGGTCATGGGGGAAGGGGGAAAACCAGGAGCTGATACTAAGGGCTCAGTAGAAATCTGTCTAGAAAAGAATGATGGCAACATATGTATAAGTATGCCTGGTACAATTGATGTTTAAGAATTTTAAGAGGTTGTAATAAGAATTTTAAGAGCCCCCAACAAAATGATCAAAAGAAATAAAAGTAACAGTCACATGATAATGTAACAGTCAAATGATAGTGTAACTGCCCTATGATAGTCAGTAATAGTAACAGCTGCAGTGGTAACAGTCACATGATAATGTAACAGTCAAATGATAGTGTAACTGCCCTATGATAGTCAGTAATAGTAACAGCTGTAGTGAACGTTTGTTAAGCATCTAACAAACATGGCGGTAAGCATGTTGTTGCTGAGGGTGCTAAATGTCCAACCACTACTCTGTCTTCTCTTCAGCAGTGGCTGGACTTAGGGCTGTCCAGCTACCCTGCATTTCCAAGCCACCCTGGCTGTCAAGAGTAGTCACGTGACAAATTCTCTCCAGTGGAAAGTGATCAGAAGAGATAGGAGCTCCGCCAGTGACAGCCCATAAAGCTCCCTCACTGGTCTCTGTGCCCTTTCTGGTGCACTGGGAGTGACAATCACTCCACAGGGTGACCTTAGCAGTGACTTGCCCCTCAACCCTGGCAGAGCAGAGCTATCAGCACCCGGAGCCTGTGTCTGATGGAGTGGGGCTGAGGCCTGCCCCTCTTTCTACTTAAGCCAATCAGGAACATGTGCCGTGAGAGAAAAACAGGCACCTGCTGTAGCTGAGACTGAAGAGTAAATAAACTACAGCTCAACCACGTGCAGGTCAGCCAGCAGGTCCCGAGAAGGGCACACTCAGCCTGGGATCTGATAGTGTCCTCTGGCAGCCTGTGAGCGCAGGCAAAGTTCCTGTGCTTTGTGCCTTCATCCTCCCCTATACCAGCCTGAGCCAAAAGGCAATGCTACAAAATCACGGAAAGCTTCTTAAAGCAAAAATATGCACGGTGAAGCCATTGCCCCTCCACCTGTCTACGCACCCCGGAGGCAGAGTTTCCAGGCAGTTCTGGCTCCAGGGGCTCAAATCGTCCCTTTGAAATGTGGGGTTCGGGGAACAAAAAGAAGCCTGAACTGGAAGCCAAGCAGCAGCACTGACAGACTTTCCTGGTCTGACAGTGACCCTGCGGCAGCGAGAGGGTGTGCAGAAGGGAAGGCCTGGCACAGCCCTCAGCCTACACACAACCAAGCAACAGGGATAGGAGCTACCCACTGGTGGGAGCGGAGGCGGGGCTCCCTAGAGGCGGGCGGGGCTTGAGCAGAGCTCTCAGGACAGTGGGGATCTTTCACCCTCAGAGCTCGAGCTCAGGGCTGGTTATTAAAGTGTGCACATTTGTAAAAACCTCGTAAGCTACAAAGGTGTAGTCTCTGCTCTTTCCTACGCATACACAATTACGACATGAACACATCAACATGAAAACGGGGAGTGGGCGTGGTTCCTCTTTGGGTTGGGTGCTCACCTCCACCAGGGCCTGCAGGAGGCGCTGAGTCAGGGCACCAAAGGGGCAGCCGTCTTCTGGTTGCTCGTGCTGAGCCTCCGACTTTTTCAGCAGGGCATCCACATCTGGGCCAGGCGGAAAAGCGGAAG